AAAAAAGAAAAAGAAAGAGAGATAAGATGAAGGAATGATATCTTGCTATATTTAATGTTTAATTTTTTGTCTTATCATAATTTTTCTTATTTCAGGGTCTTATTGAAATGTTTTTGGTGCACGTGTGACAATATCTGGTATCAAAATAGACCACAGTGAACCAGCATTAATTATAATGAATCATCGGACATGTTTAGATTGGTTGTTTTTTGGATTGCTTTAATTCGAATAGATCCATGGCTTTTGACATCACAAAAGATATCTTTAAAGGTTTGCTTACAATGAATAATTTGATTTGAAGAAAATTATCTTCTGATAAATAATTTGTTTAAATCCAAGCTATGGTTATTATTAATGAATTTTGAATATACTACTGTTATGGTTCTCATGACAATTCTATTCTTTACAAAATTTTTAACAATAAAACTCAATTTTATCCAATATAAATAATTTGAAATATGATAAGTGATAAGTTATCAAATAAATTTGTTAAATGATAGTTTGCTTAGATAGTAATTCATTCCATGATTATTACTTCAGAGATTTCTGTTTTTCTTTCCTTCACATATGAACATGAAAATCAGTGATTTGTTGTAACAGGCGGCAGTGAGACATTTACCTGGAGCTGGTTGGGCAATGGCTTCAAATGCTTATCTGTTTCTAACACGACGCTTTGAGAAAGATCAAGCACATATTGAGGAGATGATCGAGTATTATGCTAATTCAAGACATGCATATCAGGTGAGATGGCTAATTTGTTATCAATCATTCAGGAAGTGTGACATGAAATGTTGATATTAGTTGTCATTCAACAAACATTTCATAATACTACATCCATTTCTGGCTTTTGTTTAATCTTTATCAACAAAGAAAACAGTCAATACATTAATCTTTGCATCCATTTGTATCACATGATATATCAATTATCATTGTATTGCATATTTATAGTTGCTTCTTTTCCCTGAAGGAACCGATAAAGATTATCGAGCAACCGAAAAAAGTCGTCAATTTGCACTAAAACAAGGTTTAGTCCATTATAGCTATGTGCTTCATCCTAGGACGACAGGATTTACAATAATGTTAAGAAAAATGCGACAAGGTTAATTGCAATCTTTTGAATATTGGTTTTGTAATTAATTAACATTGAATAGTTCTTTTGATTTAATTTTAAATCACTTTAGAAATTTCTCTATCTTCTTGTTTTATATTTTTGCTAGAAGATTTGGTTTTTGATTGATTGGTTGACTTTTTTTTAAAAAAAAAAAAAATAAAGAGTTCATTTCAGTTGGATACATTAAGACTATATATGATGTGACAGTTGCATATGCGGATACAATCGTACAATCCGAATTCGAGTTAGTCATCAATGGTTCATGCCCGAAGAACATTCATTTTCATGTGAGTAAAGTGGATATCGATAGTTTACCTGAAAATGATGATGAACTAACTGCACAGTGGCTTATTAATCGTTGGAAGTTAAAAGAGACAAAACTTGCGCAATTTTATCATTCTGATGATGTCCAGCATCGAGCTTTTAAAATTAATTCAAATTACGATGAAGTTTTTACAGTAAGCTCTTGTTGATCTTTATAATCGTGATAGCATATACTTTCAACCTAAATTCTTTTTTTTTTCTTTGCTTTTATCAATTAAAATTCTAAATCAGAATTTATATGTTTAAAATTTAGATATTATTAATGTATTCGAAATTTCAACACCACATTTATATGAATAAAATAGAAATGCCATATTCTTAAATAGAAAAAAAAATTTGGGTTCGAAAAATTATGTTTAAATCATTGTAAATTTGATAAGTTATCATTGATATGAAATGATATTATTCTGCAGCTAACAACCAAATCTTTTATGATTTATGGAGCTGTGGTGATATTCTGGATAATTACATCAATATTCTTAATGTATGCATTCCTCTTTTATCCTTCACAATATTTGCTAGTAATATTGACAATTACGATCTTCCTTGGTTCCCAGTTTTTGCTTGGTGGCTTCGAGCATATTGCGATTCAAGCAGCTAAAAATACTTCACTATATGCATTTAGGTAAGTTAATTGTTAATTTTGGTTACTCTATGCTAACGTATCCAATTTTGGATACGTGAATTTTTGGCAGTATCGTTTATCACAGTTATATCATTCTGGAATTACTATATTTGCAGGTATAGAAAAGCAGAAAAAGAACATCTAGCATTGTCATCAGATTTTTCATTGTCATCTTCATCCAAGGAATTGCTCAAGAAATAATTGTAAATATTGCAAAACTACCTATTTAATGGTTTTAAATCATTTTATGATTTTTTTACTCTCATTAATTTTTTATTGATCTTATGTTTTTCTTAATGTTTTTACATTTTACAATGAACAATATGAGAAAGTAAACAAATTTGAATTAAATTTTTTGTGGTAAAATTAGAGATATACAAATCCCTTGTTTAGTGTAATAGATGTAAAATACAGAAAAATGATTCATTCCTCTCTTCGATCATCATGATTATATGAAATGCAAAATTAAATGTACATTTGAAATTATTTCTTCTATTTATCCGGTTGTTTCATCCATCATTAAATATTGTAATTTCCATTGCGTAATTCGTTTTTTATTTTTACATATTAATTTACATCAATTATAATACTACTTTTTTATCTTCTTAATGACCTCTTCTTCAAATTATCCAGAAGTTTTTTTCTTTTTTTTTCATTTCCAATTTTCTTTCTGCATATTTTCATGCATTTGTTTGTCATACGTTTTAATTTTATTATTCTTTATTTTTCTTCTTTTAATTTGTTCAAACGAAAAAAAAATTAGTAAGATTGATAGTTGAATTTAATTACTTTAATAAAACATATCATCCATACGATGTATGTCATCATGGGTATAGATTCAAATTCTTCCAAAAAAAAAGAAAAAATACTTACTAGTATATCAAAATCACCTAATGTTTATCATTATCAATTGATATTATCATAAGTTCATTTGGCCATTTCTTATTTCATTTCATTTTATCTCTTCCTTTTTTTTTTGACAAAACATCAGGTGAATTCTTTTTATACATTGAAGTTGTAAAAGTTTGATATAACGGTATAAATGACTTTTTCTTCTTTTTTTTGTTTTCTTGATAATTTTTGTTGTTTTATTTCATGATAATATAGTATTCTTTACTGTAAATAAGATTTTAGAGAGAAAGAAGGATGGCTAAATGTAGCGTAAGTTTACAATTATTCGACAATAAATATCTTTTAACCAATCAATTGATTTTAAGTATTTCTAATTTGACCTAAAAATACTTTTAATTAGTCCTTTATTCTATCTTCTCTAAACCACATATTGTCTTTATGATTTTCAGTTCAATTTTTCGCCTTTGTAAGGTTAATCGGGTGATTGGCCAAATTTAGTTTTGCTCTTAAGTAATACTTTGCTTGTTTTCAACCAAATTTTGTTCAATCTTTTGTTTATTTTCAATCATGGCTAAATTTCACAAATGAAGATTTGGAAAGGACTCAACTACTCACTCTTGTTGCTAACGCTACAAATATAGATGTATCTTTCGAGCTTGCGCAATGAATTTTTTAGGTAAGGCATAGCGTGAGCGGAACTGGTCTCACCTTTTGCTCCTAAGGCTCAT